GGCTCCGCCTGTAAGCAAGCTTGTACTCGGTCACTTTTTCCCAGGAGCGGAATTTCCCACCCCACGCCCCTTGGTGTTCCCTTCCCACACCCTCCTGGCCACAACGCAGGGCAGAAGCAAAATGAGACTGAGCTCACGCGTCTACCCAGCCCGGCCGCCGGGCGGGGCGTCAGGGAGGAGCTCACACCGACGGCAGAGATGTGCCGGATGCGGGCACTGCCCGGCGGCCCGCAGCACTGTCCTCCCTAACAGGGCCGCGTGCCCGCCCGCAGGCTGGTATACGGTAGCTTCTGGAAGGGCATTACTTTCCAGAAAGCTCAAAACCAGTTCACATCGCTCTAGACTTTAACTTCTAAGTGACAAAGAAAAGGCATTTTCTACCACTCTTTCCAAAGAGGAAGGATCCACCCAGAGAAACAGGTCATCAGGTCGTCAGCGGAGCCTGGGGCTCTACCATCCGCAGCCCCTGGAGCTCCCGGGCCAGTGTCCCGAGTATAACGCCCGACCGGAGGCGCACCCAGTGGCCGAGCACAGAACCTCCACCCCCCAGACCGCGCTGTGGGGGCCCAGTCTGCCCGCAGCCCCCGCGGTGCCCTGGGGCACCCTGGGGCGGGTGAGCCCCGGAGCACTCGTGGCTCAGGTGACTCCTCAGGTGACGACACACCATTAGCCCAGGCTCTCCGTGGTCAGTTTGTAAGGAAAGCAGCTGCAAATCCACTGAAAGCAGCAACAGAGATCTTCCCCCCTGTTAATTCAATGTTTAAAAACCTGTGTCTGGTTTGGGAATTGAAGGAGGTTCTTCTGGCTGAGGATGCGGAGGTGCAAAGAGGCGCAGGAAGGTGAAAACTGTCATTTTCGGGGCAGAACTACTGTGGCGTGAAAGGGAGGCAGGGTGCCTGCGACGTGGGGGTTCTGTTTTCACCCAAGCGACAAATCTCCCAGAGCGTAAAATAACACTTAGGTTTGCCCTTGTGTTTTTATTTTAAAAATAATTTCTCAAGAAATTTTTTGTTTAATTTGGGAAGCAAATCGGAACTGAGGAGTTAAGAAGAGCAACCAAAAAACTCCTGCAACCCTAATCACACATTCCTCACCCGCTGGCCTCGACGCCCCCTCCCTCACGGATGAATTATCACCAAGATTAAATCTGGGAATTCGCCAAAGGGGCTCGCTCTAAATTACTGTCTTAATGCTTTTCATTTGAAAGGATCTGCAGGAAAATTATGAAGCTCAAATTCCCCTAAATGAAACAAGCTGTCTCAGAAGTTAGGCTCTTTCACGGGTTTCTAACCTAACTCGAGATACGGTGTTTCCACCGGGAGGAAGTGAGAAGACCTGTTCAGCAGGTGCCTGTAGCCATGCTGACACCCTGAAGTGACTCCACACAGAGCCAAGCGCAAGGGCTAACGTGGGGCCCGTGAACCTCGAGGGCAGGCGGAGGGGTCCCTGAACTTGGATGGGAGGGGAAAAAACTACATGCTTATCTTCACTAACTTCTCAAATTTAGTTTTCCTTTGGTTGTAAATGGTCAGCCACAAACCACAGTGGTATTAGCAGAAACGGCAACTCTCACCAAGAGAAATCGCTGCTGTTCTCCTGCCTTGTCCCACGGTGCAGACACCGTCCCGCGGCCCCTCGCCACTCTGAAGTCGCGGCGGGCACTGGACCTGCTGCCAAAGCCGGCTCTCCGTTTGTCAACAGAGCGGCACAGGTGTTGACGTGTCACATTTTGTTTTTACTTCGGTAACTATATTTCAACTTAATGGGTTACCTTGGAAATCTTACGTATTTTATTTGATAGATGAATAAGAAATTATCCTGAGGAGGGGTCCATAGGCTTCCTCAGACCACCAAAGGGCTCCACGGCCCAGGAAAGGTTTAACCCCCTGGTCCGGTGGGTCAGAGCGTGGGCCCCGGGTGCACCGGCTGCAGGGGCTCAAATCCCAGTGCCACGGTGACCCAGCTGGGAACCCGGGCTCGCTGCTTCTCAGAGCCTGTTTCTTTAGCTATAAAATAGGGGTAAAAAGAGCTTCTACCCCCAGACTCATTATAGGGATCGGTAATTATGCAGAAGAATCGGCACGCAGCCGCCACTCAGAAAGCACGAATCAATGGCAGTGTTGCTCTGGTGGCTGTCCCCTCAGCCCGTCCGTGGCCTTCCAGCAGCCACGTCCACAATTCCTCGCAAGCACGGCACCTGTCGCGCGCTCACCACGTCAGAAGAGTCCTCTGGCCGAAGCACACTGACACCTCTGTGCCCGGCTGCTGCCTCTGTGTTTTCACAAGCTTTTCAACAAACTGACTAACTTACAAAATGTTCCTCAATTACACTCGCCCCCGGTGCAGTGCTCCCTCCTGGGCTTCCAGCAAAGGTGTCTGTGCGTCTTAGCCTTTTAACACAGTGTCAGTCAGCGCCCGTCAAGAGGGCCACCCCGGGCACGGTCAGCTTCGGCAATGCCCCCAGAACGGCCAGGCCCAGGGAAAGGACGAAACGTAGGGGAAGGAGGGAAGGTACCGAGAAGAGCCTGTTTCCTCCCACAGAGCAGACGGGAATCACTCGATCCCCGAGGCGTGGGGAAAGGGGTGCCCACGGCCGTTACCTTGCCAACAAGCCCCCACCACGAGCTGAGTCTCGATCCTGGACGGGTGAAGCGGGTAATCTTCAGTCACCGAGAAGGGCTCGTGAGCAACACCGTCCACGTAGAGCGTGACCCTCGGGATCTCCACGTTGAGGACGTAGTGGTGCCACTCCTCATCACAGACCTGTGGGAGCCGAGGGAGGGTCAGCGCACGAGCGTCCACTGTCCCTCCCATCCAGAGACACAACCGGGGCAGCAATACAACCAGACACGGGGCACACGTGACCCAGAAGGAAAATGTGTCTTCCTAGAAAGGAAACGATTACAAAAGAAGTATCTAACGACAAAATACCTCCCACCCAACCACATCTCACCAAGGCAACGCGCCCTCTCTGGGGCATTTCAGACCAGGGGCACTGCTCACGTATCACACGGCAGGGCCCCCACACCGGGAGCTGCCCGACTCTCTCCCGCTGAGCGCGACACCAGGAAAGTCTCGTATCGGCAGGATGGACACCCAGCCGCTGCACCCGCCAACCGATCAAGACCGCAGACGCCTCCGATCTCAGCATGTGTACTTTCTTTCCCAACTCAAAGCTGACGATCCACATGCCATGATCATGAATTCCGACGGCACACCCAATTAAGCTGAGCTCCCCTCCTATCCTGAATGAGCGTCCCCGGAGCATCTCCCCAGCCGTCGGGTGAGGGCGGGGTCTGCGGGCTCCAAGGCCCCCTTCAGGTCTGGCATCCCCTGACTTTTGGCTTTAGCGGAAGAAGCAGACACTCAAGAACACGGACAGGCAGAGACAGAGATGCTGTGAGATGAAATCTTTAAAAATGTTATTTCAAAAAAGCTTACCCAATTTACATTTAAATTCCAAGAAACTAATGTGAAATCGAGAGCTTATACAGACCAGAAACATCAAAATAAAATAGGTTACCGAAGCATACCCCCTAAAAGAGCAGCTGCTCCTGATAAGAGGAAAAATGTAAACCTTTACCACTGTATGTGTGTTTACTACGCACATGCAATCTACACATCCATGTGTATGTACATGTATTACACGAAACATTTCCAGATAAAGGGACTGCACAGTAATTCACTTGTGAGACTGATAAAAATCTTAATTTCAGTTTAAGTCCATTGAAAAGATGTTCTGAAGGGAGAAGCTGCCTCCGAAAGCACCTTCTATCAGACCCCAGTCTGTAAGTGCTGCAGGTTCCTAGGCTATCAGACCCCAGTCTGTAAGTGCTGCAGGTTCCTAGGGCATTAGCAGGGTAACGCTGCGCTTTACACGCACCATTCACAGCAATGCTCCGGGGCAAGGTGACCGCAGACCTGACCTGAGCGTAGGTGGAGAGAAGCAGTGGGCTCCTGACCCCAAGGAATGATAAGAGGGTGGGAGGCATATATTTTTAACACCATGATAAATGCTAGAAACCTAGTCATGTTGACAGTGTCTTTTGAAAGCAGTCAAACCTCAGTTCTCAAAATATTTGGTTCTTGACCCCACAGCCCTTTCACGCTGAGATCGGTGTGGTCAGTCACAGGTCTCCTGGGCAACAGAGGAGAGAACGCGCGAGCGTGAGTCAGTTTACCACGAGACCTCACATTGCCAACATCTCAGGAAACTGTACTATGAATGTTTTTGTGTTTTTTTGCTTTTTGGGGTCTGGAACGGATTAATTCAATTTACCTTATCTCTAATGGAAAAAAAATGATTCGGTTTTCAAACAAACCGCCTCTTGAACAGCCTTCCAGAACGAAGTACGTTCGAGAACCGAGCTTCCACTGAACTCAATTTTTCGCACAGGAACTACTGGGAAAGGCGTGACTCTGCCAAAAGGAATGTCACATGAGCTGCTATCAAAGCCGCAAACTCCCTCAAGCTAGTGGTTCACGTGGCATCCGAAAGACGTCAAGACGGCTGGTTCCTTGAACGTTTTAAATGTCCCTTGGCCCCCTGAATGTGCTGAGGGCCCCGGGCTCCTGGGCGCCGCGTGGGAGGCAAAGCCTGAGACAATAAACGCGCGCAAGGGTCCTCCGTCCCAATCTTCAAGCAAGGGTTGCTCTTTTAGTAAGTTATAACACGGTATTCTGAATGTAAAACGTACAATTTCCTGACGTTAATATTTTATACATAAAATACATCTATGTAAAAATAACGTGGGCCTTCAGTGGAAAGGGGTTCAGTGGATTTCATCTGCATCCTCTGACCCAGACGCAGAATTCATAAAACCGCAGGAGCGGCCAGGCCGTGCGAGGTCGCCGCACCTCGCTCCCCTCTGAAAAGAGCAGAATCGGCGAGTTCCCCATCGCTCACCTGAGTCAGCTTCCAGTGGAATTCCGCGGGTTTGTACATCTTGTCTCCGGAAGGATCCTGACGGAGAAGGAAAATAAGCCGGCAGCCGTGGACAGAGAGGGAGCTGTGGTGCCGGTTCATATCTGCAGAGAGATGCGACTGGTAAGTTGCCAACTTAAGACCCGAAGGAGAAATAAAAGCTATTTCTTTAATGGATTTCAAAGACATGGTTTTATCAGCGTAAATGAACTCCCAGTCGGGCCAAGGCAGGGTCAGGAACAAATACACTTGGGTTTTTACTATCAAAAGCCCAGACGCCAGGGTGGTATGCTGCGGGCGGGGCCCTGATGCAAAACACAGAACAACACACGGAACCGGCCAGGCCCCGGGAGCCTCTCGGGATGACGGAGTCCAGTGGCCACAGCGGTGGACACGGCGCATGCACCCTTCCCAGCAACGCTAACCTGTTTTGTCTGAGCTGCAGAGAATGGTCTCCTTCCTCTTGCCGAAGGGCCCGTGCCTCATCCACACAGAGACCGTGAAGGGCTCTTTGGGGTTGACGGAGACGATGCCATCTGGGATCCTGACTGCCTGAGTGCCGTTGAACTCGAAGACCTGGTCGCTGTCGTGGCCGTTGTCGGTGGGGAGGCCGACGGTCCAGTTCAGGGAGCCGCTCGGGGAAGGGAGCAGCTCGGCAGTGCCAGACGCAGCGCCTGGAACACCACGGTAACACCTGCTACGCACGCAGCCCGCCGAGGCCACACCGAAGCACCGTCCTTGCCCCGGGTTTATATGGTTCACTAGACCCACTTTATTTTTCTCAAAGAGAAGGGTTTTTATTATAAGAAAAACTCATGAATAATAAGCAGGAACCTTTTTTTAAAAAAAGCATTACCTGTAACCCACAATTAACATTTGCACATAAGCATTTCCTACCTTTTATAAACATATACGTATTATAAAAATACATATAATACGAACATACACACATTATGACAGAGCATCCTGTGTGCGCCCGACACACGTTCCCGTTCACACTCTAGCGTAACTGACGCCGTCTGACGGGCAGTTCTGCCGCCTGGGCTTCTCCCCACGGTGCCTGTGGCGTGCGGTCTGTGGAGGCCGTAAACCAGACGTGGGTGCCCTTAGTTTTGGTTTTCTTCCTCACGTTTGCCAGAAGCAGCCGCATTACCTCTAGTTTTCATTTTTTCTTCAGTCCTTAAATATCTCATTTCCTTTAAAGCTCCCTCCGCCCGGCCGGGAGTGGCTCAGCGGCTGAGCATCGACCTGGGATCCAGGAGATCGGGGTTCGATTCCCGGTCAGGGCACATGCCCGGGTTGCGGGCTGCAGCCGATCGATGACTCTCTCATCACTGATGTTTCTCTCTCTCCCTCTCTCTCCCTCTCCCTTCCTCTCTCTGAAATCAATATATATTTAAAAATAAAAATAATAAAACTCCTTCCACATATACATCATTTCTACTTTGATGATTCTCAATGTATGTCTGAGAAATACTGTCTTCAAATCAGTGGTTCTTAAACATGCACATGAACTAACATTTCGAACAGACTTTCACGGGGCCATGTGCCCGCTAGAGCCCATCCGGTATGAAAATGAGCTGGTGAGGCAGCAACAGCCGTGTCAGAAAGTCAGTGTGTTTTAGTTAATGACCACGAACCAGCACGCACACACGCGTGTGGACACACACACACACACACTTCCACGTGCGGGGTCTCTCCCGCCTTCACCGAGGACTGCCAGCCTCCTTACCACAGAGCCGGTGAAGGGACTTCTCGGAGTAGGTGTCGCGGTCACAGCCTTTCCCTATGTGGCTGGTCTCCAGCTCCACCTTCACCTGCACCGAGGCCACCGACTGGTCGCACGTCTCCAGGTGGGCGTTTGGGAAGAGGGCCAGCGCGCCCGTGCCCGGCTCGTAGTCCACCCTGCTGTTCCATCCTGCATGGCCACAGGCCCGGGGGGGCGGGGACGGGACTCACATGAGGTTTCTGGGCAGGACAAACTTTAAGACCAGGGTGAGTGCAGGGACGAGAGGAACGGAGCTCACCTTGCCACCCGGGGGTGCAGGTGGGCTTAATGCTGATCTTCACCAGCACGTCCTCGGCCGCCCTCTTCTTCCCGCAGTCGTAGGCGGTGACGGTCAGCTTGTACTGGTGTTCTTTCCCGTAGTTCAACTTCTCTGTGTTCTTTATGTACCCTTCCAGGGGGAAAAACAACAGTGAGAGCCCAGCCCGCGCTGGTTCCGCTTCCGCCGCCCTCCACGGAAACACAGAGGCACGTGGTTCCGGCCCCGTAGGTACCGACGGGGAAGCAGCCTGAGATCACGAACGCTCCTCCCCGCTTCCCGGGCGCGAGAGCACGACACCCGCCCCTCGGGCCCGCACACTCAACGCCGTTTATTCTTAGAGGTTTCCTTTTGTTTTTATATTTAAGACTTACATATAAGATTCGGATTTTTCAAATATGAAATATAAGATCAAGCTGCACCAAATGCTTCTTGCTAAAAGACTCACTTTATGAGAGAGGAGAGAGAGAGAGAATTCCTGCCCCGCCCGCTAGAAGAGGAACCTGCTTCTGTGAGTCCGGGTGTCTGCAAAGTGTTTGCCGTGCCCACAATGTTAGCAGAGGTTCTGGACTGTGCATCCACAATGGAAACATTGTATCATCCTGAAGCCACAACCTCATAAAAAAGTTAAACTCTAGAACGAGCTGGTTCTGTTCCATTACCGAGGATGGAGGGTCTGGCAATAAAGACTAAACCCTCGCCTCCAGGACGAGGCGGCGGATGCGAATCTAACGGAGAACAGAAAACGGGACTAAGGAAAGGCCTGTCTCACTCAGATCCAGGCTGACAAAGGCGAGACGGTACACGGACAGCGTGACAGGCAGGGCGTTTTCGTGAGACCTTGAAGAGAAAGGAACAAGGACCCCCCCCCCCGAGAACACAGGCTTTCGGGGACAGAGTGGGAACTGAGCGGTGAGACGGACACGCCACGTTAGGTCTGTGCCATGGACCGACTGTTCTCATGCTGAAGCCCGAGCCCTCGGGGCGCTCGTGTTAGGAGGCGGGGCCCTTGGGAGGAACTTAGGTTTAGGCGAGGCAATGAGAGGGGAGCCCCCATATTGGAATTAGTGTCCTCGTAAGAAGAGGCGACCAGAGCGCCCTGTCCCTCCCACCATGGGGGCCACAGCGAGAAGGTGGCCGTCTGTCAGCCAGGAAGAGGCCCTCGCGGGACCCTGAATGGGCCGGCGCCTCGATCTTGGGCCTCTCAGCCTCCAGAACCAGGAGACACGAACGCCTGCTGTTGAAGCCGCCCGGCCTGTGGCATTTTGTTCTAGCCGCCAGAATGGACTGAGTCTCTGACTTGTGAGTTTCGCTGACGTATAAAGTTTAGGTCTGAAACTGATCGGCTTACGAGGGGCTGTCCCCTTGGTAGGGAACACTCGCCCCGTTCTCACCATCTTTGTCGACAGCGAACGGCACGTCGGGGGTGACGATTTCATAGCTGCAGATCTGGCTGAACTGGGGGGAGCAGTCTGCGTCCACGGCCTCCACCCTCAGGATGCTCTCGTAACGCTTCCCCTCCACCACGGTCGCCTGGTAGGACTTCTCCTTGAACACGGGCGCGTACTCGTTCACATCGGTCACCTGGATGTGGACAGTTGCTCTGGAAGAGGGAAGAGACGCTGTGTGCTTTGTCTTTTATCGCCGCCCCCCATTCTGTCCTATTTGTAAATTTCCTTTTTCTGACATCTTTTATTAAATTTTACAATGAAGATAAAAATTAAACTATTCATTGTTTTTACTTTAGCACAGAGATAACAGAAAAGTTAAAACAGGAATTTGGGGTGATCGTTCCAGGTCCCAGGGATAAAGCAGCTGGTAAGAAAGCAGCACCGCAGCCCTGGCCGGCTCAGCTGCGTGGGCGTCGTCCCGCGCACCACAAAGGCTGCGGGTTCGATTCCCGGTCAGGGAACATGCCTACGTTGTGAGTTCGATCCCTGGTTGCGGTGGGTACGGGGGCAACCAATCAGTATTTCTCTCTCACACTGATGTCTATCTGTCTGTCTCCCACTCTCTTCCTCTCTTTCTAAAAATCAATAAAAAATATCCTTGGGTGAGGAGTGAAATAACAAAAGGCAATAACATAAAAAAGAGAAACTTGGGATTTTCTTTGACAGTGAGGGTCAGGGTATGCAGGAGGGAGATGAACTGTATCACGTGTCTGTTAGCTCTCTAACCACAAAGCGAAAACTATCTTGTTGCAAAATTCAAAAGCAACTGGGAGGGAGGGAGGGAGGGAGGGACACAGCGTCGGAAGGCGGGAAGCGGGGGCATTGAAACAAGGCTGGTCCTGCTTCCAAGGACGAGGGACCATCAGTAACCCGCGGCTGGGACACCCCCCACTCGATCAGCTGATGAGGGGCCTCCACGGGACCTCAATGTTGCCCTTCCTGGCGAAGCCCGTGCTGCCAGGGTCCATCTCCCCAGCTCGGGTGACAACACAAAGGCCTCGTCAGACAGGCTCCCGAGACAGAAAACGGCTGGTCTCAGGGCGACTGGTCAGGGCGCGCTCTGGGTCAGAAAGACCTCTGACTGGAATAAGATCTCTTCCAAGGAAAACAGTGTGTGACAAGAGTGAGGGGCAATTCACGGGCACTCAGCACCCCTGCTGGTCACCAAGACCCTCCACACCCCAGCGCCATCCATCCATCCATCCGTCCATCCATCCATCCATCCATCCATCCATCCATCCATCCATCATCCGTCCATCATCCGTCCATCCATCCATCGATCCATCCATCATCCATCCATCGATCCATCCATCATCCATCCATCCATCCATCCATCCGTCCGTCCGTCCATCCATCCATCATCCATCCATCCATCATCCATCCATCCATCCATCATCCATCCATCCATCCATCCATCCATCCATCATCCATCCATCCATCCATCATCCATCCATCATCCATCCATCCATCCATCCATCCATCCATCCATCATCCATCCGTCCGTCCATCCATCCATCATCCATCCATCATGATCCATCATGCATCCATCCATCCGTCCATCCATCCATCATCCATCCATCCATCCATCATCCATCCATCCATCCATCATCCATCCATCCATCCATCCATCCATCCATCCTGACCTCACAACGGTTATGTGACATCTTCTCACCCATGTGCCCCTCTTTCCTTAGTCCATGTACTAAGTAGAAACTGAGACTGAACAAAATTAAATCTGCCTCAAAGGGCAGGTGAGCAGCAGAGGAAAGACGAGATTCTAACTCCATGTGCTGCCCAGAGCTCTCCCGCTAGGCCAGCCGGCCGTCCTCAGCTGGCAGGAAGGGCGGGATCGCGCCCAGGCAGCGGCTCACGAGTCGGCTTCCTTCCACCGGCTCGAATGAGTTTCGTGCCCTCGGAATTCACAGACAAAAGGTGAATGTAACCACAGAGCATCGTCCGAGGGAAGAAGTGGGCTTTTTGTATTTTCACTGTAGGGCCTTGGTTTCTTTACTAGGGCACTTGGTGGGTAAAGTCACTTTCATTCATTTACAGCTACGTGCCAGGCCCTGCTGGGAGCCGTATGCCAGGGCCTCTGATCAAATTGCTCACTGTGAGCCCTGGTCAGTTTTGCTCAGTGGTTAGAGCATCGGCTCTCAGACTGAAGGGTCCCGGGTTTGATTCAGGCCCAGGGCATGTACCTCGGTTGCAGGCTCGATTCCCGGGCCCTGGTCGGGTCGTGTGCGCGAGGAACCAAGCGATGTGTCTCTCTCGTGTCGATGTTTCGATGTTTCTCTCTCTCTCTCTCTCCCCCTTCCACTCTCTCTGAAAAGCAACAGAAAAAATATCCTTGGGAGAAGATTAAAAAAAACAAACAAACTGCTCATTGTGTCACGATGGACAATTGAGAACTTTTGTTTAAAAATTATTTATTGATTTTTTAGAGACAAAAGAAATGGGGAGGAAGAGAGAGAGAGAAACATGGACCTGTTGTTCTATTGCCGTTCCACTGACTTATGCGTCACTGGTCGAGTTTTGTATGTGCCCCGGCCAGGGATCGAACCTGCAACCTTGGCGTATCAGGATGACACTCTATCTAACCCGCAGAGCTACCTGGCAGGACTATCTTCTATTTCCAAAGCACACGAAGCCCTGGGGATGGGGCAATAACAGTCACCACTGTTCTTCACACACTCTCTGCCCAGCTCACTTACTTATGAGACTTCTTTGCGTTGGCACTGCCGTCGGGCCCCCTCCCGCAGTCATAGGCCTGGATGGCGAACGTGTAGTCTTTCTGCAGCTCACAGTCTAGCTTCTCTTTCGAGCGAATGAGTCCCTCGCCCGTGGATTTATCCACCACTACCGCGTCAAAGGGGACATTCTGCCCATGAATTTTAAATCCACAAATCTCACCTGGGGGAGTCAAAGCAATGCAGGTTAGAATTCCCGCCACTCGCACCGTCTGCGCAGCCAGTCCCCTCCTCCCCCAAAGAAAATCAACGGCCACAATTCGGCAGCCAGGGGATCGAGAGGGTCTGTGGACAAAGCAGGGGCGCTGTGCTTGGTAACAGGGTAAGTTCTGGGGCTTTAGTACAAAGAAGCAGGTTCTGGCTTTCCAAGCAGCTTGTTTGACTTTGCATCCATTCATGCAGGAACACAAAAGACAAAGAGAAAATACAGACAGGCATTTCACAGGAGTACTTAGGACAGCTCCAGGGTAAATGGTCTCATTAGCAAGCAGCCAAGGCCTGGTAACACCAAGAAACTGCCCCGGCTACTGGGGACAGCTGGGCAGCTGTTCTGGTTTGGACCAGAGGGATGGCTAAAACGCAGTTAGGTGTTGAGGGGAAGAAGCGTGAGACACAGGTTCAGCACCGTAATTACAGAAAGTCTGTCGGAAAAACATCAGAAGAAACAAGTCTTCCTGTGCAATGAGCCTGGCTAAAATTAGGGAATCAAAAGCAAACTACTGAACGAGAAAGGTAGAAATACCAACTTCTCAGGCATCCATTTCAACGGCCGGCATCTACTGGTAAGATGCAGTGCCCACCGTGGGGAGATATGCCAGGCTGCCCCTGGTTTCGGACTGTAACCTATCAGACCCCAAGAGGACGCCTGCCTGGGAACGCAAGCTTGTCTAAGTTGGCTTACCAGCTTCGTTAGGAGTTAAAATCTAGGTTTCCATTCTTGCCCACGGGAGAACAAATATAAATGCTTTGATGTATATATAAAACTTCACAAGATGTATTTCCCATAAAAATAAGATGGAACTCTTCCAAAATTACAACTAAGAAAACGGCTATGACATGAATCCTTAAGTTCAATTAAAAAAAAAAAAAAATTAAGCACAATATTATCCATATAGTTCAAATGGATGTCTGATTTCCAGATATTTCTAACCGAGGGTTTGGTTACATTCAGTCTCCATCAATATATTTAAAAATAGAAACAAAGAATAAATAGTGGTAAGAGAGCATGACAGCATCTTCTGTTTAAGGGCTGATTCCCAATTTTATAAACAAAGTTAGTGGGTTAATATTTGTAAGAGGGATAGAAAGAACCCTTTATCACCTTCTTTGGTGACTGTCACCTCAAAACTCTCTAAAGGGAGAAAAGATAAACCCATGTCAGTAACACAGGAAAGAATGAAGATGGAACAATACGGAAAAAACGTCAAAGCTGCACATATTACATAGAAAAGCTGGACACAATGTAACAATCAGCTCAGTGGCCACTCGCTAGAGCTGCAGCAAAACTGGACCTTCCGTAACAAAGTGTCTCTTCGAATCCTACTTACCGTGGACTACTGCATAATTTTTGATATCACACTAACCCACCCCTGAAACACTGCTACGGCTTCGTAACACCCTCAGGTGCGTCAGGACTTTGAACGAACACTTTCATGAGAACAGCTCAGATGTTCACCTATTTGTTCTTCACTGTTTTCAGATTTTCCTTTTCAGTACAAGTTCTTGTGGTTAAGAGTCGTAACATTCAACTCATCATTAGGTTAAATGAAACAAACAGTTGGGGAGCAAGGGGTTTTATTTTAATCCTTTGTTTTTGAGCTGAATAAATAACAATGTTTTTTCATCTAATCTTGGTCCTCATGCAACCAAGGCAGCAAATACAAACGCATCTTTGAAGGGAACATCTGCTTAAATGGGAACTGAAACGAGATTCAGTGCTAACGGCGGTGATAGTTTTTACCGCGTGAACACGCCGGCCTAGCGTGCCCGTGTAAACCCTGCCTGCCTCGCCCAGGACCACCGCAGGGAGGGTCGGGGGCCCCACTGCCTCCCACTCAGCGTGGCCTCACTGGGGGCACCGTTTCTCCCCCAAGGGTATCACAGCCTGAATCCCCTTGTGGGGTGTGTGTGCTTTTCTTGATGTTCCTGCCATATATTTGTATATCCCTGAATAGTGCTGTGTCATTTTGCTTGTTTTTGAGGTTTGAAAAAGGGCATCACCCAGTACAGAATTTTTGTGTCTTGCCTTCTTACTCAGCCTGGGGTCTAAAATCCATTCATCCTGGATGGTGTCCACGGCTGCGGTGCATTCATTTCACTACCACATACATAAGAACCCAGTGAGTCAACACAGGTACAGTGCGTAAAACGCTGCCTGGACAGAGCAGGCCCTCCGCAGCGTCTGCCATCACCACAGTCATTCCCACTGTGGGACGATAATGCCACAATGCCAGTTTTTGCTGCTTATGAACGAGCTACAATGGATAGGTCTGTCCGTGGTTCCTGCTGCACCCCCACAGCGTGTCTCTGGATCTGTGCTGGCCAATGCCGTAGCCAGTAGTCACATGGGGCTATGTCAAATTAAATTAAAATTCATGTTAAAATTAAATATTAAAAAGTCAGTTCCTCCATGCACTGGCAGAATTTCAACAGCCGCAGGCGCCTAGTAACTACCGAGTAGAGAATGCAGACACCGAACCTTCCCACCATCACGGCGAGGGCTGAGGACACGGTCCCAGTCCAGCAGGCAACCTATGGCCTCGGGCCAAATCCACCGTGTCACGTTGTTGTTGTTTTAAATATGTCTTTATTGATTTCAGAGAGAGGAAGGGTGAGGGAGAGAGAGAGAGAAACATCAATGACGAGAGAGTCATTGATCAGCTGCCTCCTACATGCCCCTGACTGGGGATCGAGCCCACAACCGGGGCATGTGCCCTGACCGGGAATCGAACCCCGATCTCCTGGATCCTAGGTCGATGCTCAACCGCTGAGCCACGCCAGCTGGGCCACCATGTCACACTGCTGAACAACCTGCATACTAACAATTTTTATCTTTTTAAATATTATATGAAAATTCTATGAAATTCACACTTTAGTGTCCATAAGCAAAGTTTTATTGGAACACAGACGCCTGTCCGTTTGTTTTTGCATCACGCTCTCTCACTACAGTGGCAAAGGAGAGTCACTGCAAGAGATCCCAAAATACTTACTATCCGGCCTTTACAGAAAGTCAGCTAAGCACTGCCCGAGAGGCACGCCCAAGAGCAGGGCTGCCGGGTAAAGACATGTCAAACTGTTCCCCAGAATGTGCTAATTCACTACATTGCGCTTTCACATGTGGGGAGTGTAACAGTATTGCACAATACATTTAAAAATAAGTCAAGCTGCCCAGCTTTAACCCAGAGAAAACTTCTCAGTTTCGCCTGGGAGCTTACTGTTCCGGAGAGAAAACAGTGAGGCAAGTCCGTTATCTGAGCTGCGACTGCATGTGCCTTCCCGACAACGGCCTGCGTGGGTGAGGGCAGGTCCGGGGCCTTGGATGAAGTATGTGACGTGGGTCACGCCGCCTACGTCGAGTGCTGTTGAACAGGGGTTAGCGACACCCCTGGTTCAGGCAGTGTCCTTGAGATGGCTTCTGTGAGGAGCGGAACCATCTGCCAATAGATTAAACTCCCTGGATTTCTCCTCTGAGATTTCACAGCGGGAGGCCGGG